CTTGAAGTCCACAGGACTTCAAGTCTCCAAGGTTGAGAAACACTGGACTAGAGTCTTGAGATGGCATCCTGGCATCTAAAAGATGGCTTGTAACAATACAAACCCCATTGTCATAAATGCTCAAGAAAAATGACGTGATGAACGGGTCGTATGGTTCACCAGAAAGGATGGGATGAGTTTGAAGGAAATAAGAGTCCTTTTCATGTCTTTTATTGGACTGTTATTGGGCGAGAAAGACACTCACCACGACTACCTCTCTTGTACATGTTTGGCTCCTTTGAATCTCCTATCCAGCTGTATTCTGTTGGCATAGAAACTGGCCTCAGATCACCTGTGAAAAGTACAAAGAGGAACCAATTAACACATCGAGATCCATTAAAAGGAGGATTACGCACATTAAAAAGATGGGAGACAAGTTAAATTAAGAGGAGCAACAGCTGCCGGGCGCAATTAATAAATCTTTGCAGTTTTCAGAATGTGCTGTAATGGACAAAATGTACAAGAGGAAACAGCAGATGTTCCTCCATTGGGATCTTTCCTGCCCAGGACAGAAGGCAGTCTTGGTACATGCGATTCTGGCTTGGTCATGAGGACAAGATGAGACAGCAATTCAACCCGAGTGTCCATTAGACCAGTGGTTCCCAAACTTGGCAACTTTAAGACTTGTGGACTTCAACTCCCAGAATTCTCCAGCCAGCAGAGCAGAGCTGGCTGGAGAATTCTGGGAGTTGAAGTCCACAAGTCTTAAAGTTGCCAAGTTTGGGAACCACTGTATTAGACCTAATGGTGAGGCTGGAAAAAAGAGCCATTGTCCTTGATTCTGGATACTCTTGACATTTCAACTCAACGCCAAAGTTTATGACCATCCATCCTGTAGGGACATTGTCATTGTAGAGCAGAAAGACAAAAGGGGAAAAAATGGAGGAGTTGCTCAGCTGCTTGAGAAGAAGACATCTTAGGCATCTACTAGACACCATTCCAAAGTATAGAAAGTTGGCACCCACCCCTCTCTTAGAGGAATGAAATATTTTGAGAAATATTAAAAAGGCAGAACGTTGCATTTCCCTAAAGGAGAAATCGAGAAACATGCCCTAGGAAAACAGCCCCCACTTTCCTTAAGCAGATGTCAGCACTTAAGAGATAATGGGATAGATAGCACCATTCATAGGCAAAGCAAATACCGCAGGCAGAAATCCACTCAAGGAAGGATATTTTGAAATTCCCTGTTTGAACAAAGGTAGGATAAGACCTCAGTCATAATAGGAATTGCCCAGCACCCTTTCAGAACATAAGCTCACTACATTGCACAATCTCCTAAGGACATTGCATCAGCAGCCCAAACTTCAACCAAACCAAGGGAGCTCAGACAACCTACAGAGCCGCCTATGACCCCTACAGCAGCCAAGAGAATACATGTTCTTGCACAGGAACAGGAAGCTCAAGTGCAAAGCCCAAGAGAATCTCAGCTTCTATCTTAAAGTGTTCAAACCCTGAGAACATTTTCATTGACAGCCCTTTCTTCTGTATCTTGGGGTTGCACTTTTATGATCCCTTTTATGCATTGTGTGAACCTATTTTACTCCATCCTTTTGGTATTTTATAGTTGTAGATTTGCATAAAGCGTTGGTCGCTGATCATAATAAACTTGAATTTTGTTGACAGCCCAACTTCTTTGCTATGTATCCATGTATATCCATGCCTTGCCCTTTAAACTTCAGTGGCTAATCAACATTGCTGGCTTATCTTGACTAAGTGTTGAACTAGAAACATGGCCCTATTTTCAGTTGTGTTTGAAGCTGGTGAGCTTGGACGCATTATCACATTGCCAAAAACCTGAAGGTCAAGAAAATATAGTCTAAACTTTCCTTTTTTTAAAAAAAAAATCCTCCTGTTCCTGAAATTGAATAGAACAGCTCTTCTCAACTTTGGCAATTTTAAGCTATGTGGATTTTAATTCCCAGCTTGCTGGCTGAGGAATTCTGGGAGTTGAAGTCCACATGGCTTAAAGTTCAAAGATTGAGGAATACTGGAATACTGTAGAAGCTTAAGAAATCAGAAAACTGTCAGGAAAGATGGTTTATGCGGTGAAAGGAGGAAGACAAATGCACATCCCCTGATGACAACTAATATAAAAGATGATATTATAGCCTCACATCCATCACATTAGACATTTCACTGACCTGCTCATCTCTTTTGAAAGCAATTTTGCAAAGCATTGAAATTTTGCTGCCTTCAAGAAGGATGGAAAAATGGCACCTGACATTTTTCCTGCACTCTTTCAAAAGTTTGTTACCATCTCCTTAAGAAAGAGGGGGTGTGAATGGGGCTTCCACTGCTGCTTAAAATCTGATCGTTCCATCCTTCAAATGCTCAGATGGATAGCAAGAAAGGGGTGGAGGCAGGGGTAAAATGCGAACAGTTCACACCGTTTTGTGCAAACCGGTAGGGAAGAAAAGCTTGCGAGGATTGTGCGACTCAGCTGTGAGCTGTGCGATCATTGGAAGCTTTTTAAAAAACCCTTTAAAGCATTTTTTCCTGCCTATTTGCCTGAACCAATAGTAAAAAAAATGCTTTAAAAAGTGGGATTTTTTTTTTGAAATATACACCAACAATAATAGAAAAAGAAAGGGAGAGAGGGGGAGAGAAAGAAAGGAAGACAGGGGAAAGAAGAAAGAGATAAGGAGAGGATGATGGAAGGGGGAGAAAGAGAAGAAGAGAGGGTAGGAAGGGGAAGAGGAAGAGCAGGAGTAGGAGAAAGGTAAGGGAAGAAGGGAGGAGAAGGAGAAGAGGAAGGAAGGAAGTAGAGAAGGGAGGGAGGGAGAAAAGAAAGGGAAAACAATGAGATGTTACAAAAGNTCTCTTCTCTTCTCTTCTCTACTCTACTCTACTCTACTCTACTCTACTCTACTCTACTCTACTCTACTCTACTCTACTCTACTCTACTCTACTCTTCACTTCTCTCTCTTCTCTTCTCTTCCCTTCCCTTTCCTTCTCTTCTCTCTCTTCTCTTCTCTTGTCCTGTCCTGTCCTATCCTATTCTCAAAGATTAAACAGCTGAGATTGTGGGTGGGTATCCCAAAATTATGTGATTATGGAACTGTAAAGGAAGGTTGGCTGTTGGAATTGTTCAAAACTGGGATGTAAGTAGCTCTGAGGCCTGTTATAACTTCAAATTATTGCTAAGCCACCGGTTGTAAGTTGAGGACTATTTGTCCATGATCAGGATTCTCTTTACCCACATTTCCTCCCCTGCAGATATTTCAGGTTTTTTTTAAAAGTAAGTAAGTTTTGTGTGCTAAAAATAACTGGCAAATGCAGTGCAAGAAATCCTAGACTGCATTTCTGTTTCCATTCATAAGATAGAACCAAGAAATGGGTGGATGATAGTCCTTTAGAACAGAGGTGTCCAACCTTGACAACTTTAAGACTTGTGGGCTGCAACTCCAAGAATTCCTCAGACAGCCATGCTGGCTGGGGAATTCTGGGTGTTGAAGTCCATAAAGTTGGACACCATTGTTTTGGATCGACTCAAAATATACCATTTTGAAAGAAGTCTTGGGGGAAAAAATCACTTATCCCATCCTTTTTTCTGAGAAAGCTGTGACCGATGGTGTTAGATGTTCTCAACAATTGGATCAAGTTCAGAAGTTTTAACGGGGGTTGTTTTTGAATCCCCACCCCATTTAAATAAGCAAAAAATGACACACAGTGAATTAAGAGATTAACAGAGTTGGAAAGGACCTTGTAGGTCATCTAGTCCAGTCCCCCACCCATGCAGGAGACCCTACACCATTTCTGACAGATGGCAGTCCAGTCTCTTCTTGAAAGCCTCCAGTGATGAAGCTCCCACAATTTCTGGAAGCAACTTTNATCTTCATATCTGGTCACATGGGCGGCAAGCCACTCCCATCCGGTCACATGGGCGGCAAGCCACTCCCACAAAGGAGGCCACACCCACAGAGTAGCTTCGAACAATTTTTGAAACCCACCACTGATGTAGCTAGTGTCTTGGGGGGGTAAAACGAAGGAGGTGACATAAAACCTTAATGAGGATGCTGTGTGTATACAAATGGTTCACATTTGTGCTGTCACGATATCAAGTGTGTGCTTCAGCACTCTTGCCTTCTTCGGAGGGCTAGTGAAGAAAGTTAGCTCCCACCCCTCTTAGAAGAATGAAATATTTTAGGAAATATTAAAGAGGCAGGATATTATATTTTCGCGCGCTCCCGCTACAGAACCGGTGGTGAAGAAAATAGAATACCATTCCTGGTAATGAGTCAGGGGGAATAATGCCACCCTCTACAGATTTCAGGCTGCAGCTATGGAGATAGCTAAATAGTGGCAGTTTATTGATTTGTGACATATTCACAGATTCTTTTGCCTATTAAATAAGACATTCTTAATTCAGACTGTCATTAAGCATTCTGGAAAGCTCAGGGTGTTTTGACCCCCCCCTCCCCGATTCTGATTGCAGTGTTCTGCTGTGTGATGAGAGCAATTATAATTTATTTATCTGCCTGCTTTATTAAAATGAACTTTGCAATAATCAGTGACATATTCACAAAGAGGGGATGGGGTGGAATTTAGCAAAATGACATCTGGATTCCTGAAGGCTTTATATTGCTAAATGTGCAACAAGGCTGGTTCTCAGTTTTAAAAACACAGAAATAACATACAGGTAAACTCCTGCGAGTCCCTTGGACTGCAAGGAGATCAAACCGGTCAGTCCTAGAGGAGATCAACCATGGCTGCTCTTTATGAGGCCAGATCCTGAAGATGAAACTCAAATGCTTTGGCCACCTAATGAGAAGGAAGAACTCACTGGAGAAGAGCCACATGCTGGGAACAATGGAGGGCAAAAGAAGTAGGGGACGACAGGGAATGAGGTGGCTGGATGGAGTCACTGAAGCTTAAATGGACTCAGGAGGATGGTAGAGGACAGGAAGGCCTGGAGGAATGTTGTCCATGGGATCGCAATGCATCGGACACAACTTCGCAACCAACAAGAACAAGAAATCCTTGACTTACAACAGTTCCTTGAGTGACCACTCAAAGTTACAACAGCCCTGAAAAGTGACTAATGATAGTTTTCACTCTTAATGACTCTTACAGCATCCCTATGGTCACTTGATCAAAATTCATTTGTTTGGAATCTGACTAATATTTATGATAAATATATTTATTTATTGGTTGCAGCATCCCGGAGTCATGTGACGCCCTTTTGTGACCTTCTAACACGCAAAGTCTAGTTTAATACAAAAAAGCTCTAGCAGTCTTCCGATATCTCAGGGGTTGCCCCAAAGAAGGAGTCAAGCTATTCTCCAAAGCACCTGAGGGCAGGACAAGAAGTAATGGGTGGAAACTAATCAAGGAGAGACACAACTTAGAACTAAGGAGAAATTTCCTGACATTGAGAACAATTAATCAGTGGAACAACTTGCCTCTAGAAATTGTGAATGCCCCAACACTGGACTTTATAAAGAAGAGATTGGACAACCATTTGTCTGAAATGGTATTAGGTTTCCTGCCTGAGCAGGGAGTTGGACTACAACAGGAGTCAGCAACCCACCACTCTGGAGCCGCATGTGGACGTTTCATCCCTCTGCTGTGATTCCCTGTTGCTCAAAATAGGCATCACAACCACCAATGTGTGATACCCATCAGCACACGATTTATTGAGCTTTTCGACCCATGGTAGACCAATCATGGATAAATCCAAGAAAAGAAATGTTTCAGAAGAAAACAGAACATTTAATTCAACTACCTATGCTAGTTCTGTGGCCACTCAGGAAATAGTCAGGCATGGGAAGGATTTTGTGGCTCCCAGTGGGTTTTTGGGGGTGGGAAACGGGTCCAAATGGCTCTTTGAGTGTTTAAGGTTGCCGACCTAGAAAATCTCCAAGGTCCCTTCCAACTCTTCTCTTCTCTTCTCTTCTCTTCTCTTCTCTTCTCTTCTCTTCTCTTCTCTTCTCTT